CTTAAAATGGATACCGAGAGAATGTAAGAGAGAAAGGAACACTTTACCACACACACTTTTCTGCATCCCCCCGTCAGAATGTGAATCCACTCACCCCGTCGGCACAATTAAAGTAGCATGTTCCGAGAAGTTTTGTGCTGTAAAAGATGCAAAACTTCGTATCTCAAATTATGGGTTCGATCGCCACAGAAATGGATTTTCAAAAATATGTATTCATATACATTCATACACACACACACACACATTATTATATATATAATACGATGTTTTGCCATCTTAAATACGATATGCATTCTTTAATGCTAATCTAATGGAAATTAATCACGGAAACATAGGTTCATATTTCGAATTCTAATCTTTTTTTTTATTTAAGGTCGCATCAACTACTAGGTAATTAGCGACCATTATTGCTTGTAACGGTATGGTAACTGTGGGTTGACACGTTAATGATGATGATAGGAGGGGAAAGGACGAAACACAATACAACCATGCCCGAGGCGGGACTCAAACCCGCGATCCTTCGGTCCGAGTTCGCTACGGCACTACTGCCTTAGCGATCTCGGCCACCGGATCGGCTCTAATCTTATGTTCCAGACGCAAAAGGGGGAAATGCAGCCCGCACGCCTCCCTCACAGCGCCCGCGCCGTGGCGCCGCTGCTGTGCGTCGCGCGAGCGCTGGGGCTGTTGCCCTTCCGCGTGCCGGCGCTGGAGCCGTTGCGCGTCGCCTACAGCAAGGCGGGCCTGCTCTGCTCCGCCGCGGCCCTCGGCGTCAACCTCACCATCACGCCCGCGCTCGTCGTCTCCCATGGAGGCCTCGCCATCGTCGACTTCCCCGCCAAACTCAGGATAGCGGAAACCGTCCTGATTTCCGCGATGTGCGTTCTCCTCCTCGGCATTTCTCCGCTGCTACTGGCAATGGCCGTTTCCCGCACCACCGCCGCGCGTTGGGACAAGCTACTTCGCGTTTGTGCGACCATTGATCGCTACCTTGAGGATGGTTCTCGACCCATGACACGAGTTACGAGATGCCCATGGATATTACATGTTGTTTCTTTGGGTATTCCGCTTTCTTTATTGCAAAGTATAATCGAAATGTTAACGTTCGAAACTTTTCAATTGATTTCGGTATATCAGTGCTGGTGTTCTTGTCAAATACGAATTATGTGCATTTTATTTTACTACCTTGCGTTAAAAATGAAAAGTTTCTTTGGTCTGATTATTGAAGAAATAGAAATTCTGGCAGATGAATTAAAAGGAGAAGACAAAAATATAGATATGCGTTCATCCGTAAAACACCAAGAAAATGCATCGCTAACTGTTAGCAACTTTACCTGGGATCATGTAAATACGAAAAGGTCGCTGACTATCACAACAAACGACACAGCTCTCGTGAACAAAATAAGAAAACTCCGCAAAGCCCACAACACAGTAGAAACAGCGTGCTCCGTCCTCAACGAGATCTTCACGTTCCCGCTCCTGTTCTTCTACTTCCACATCACCATGGTGATCGAGTCGTGCCTCTTCTACATCACGGGCGCCAGCGACGTCCACCTGTCGGCGGCGCAGGCGTTCGGCCTGGCGAGCACGGTGGCGTCGAACGCGCTGCTGGGGTGGGCGGTGGCGTGGGCGGCGGGCGCGGCGGCGGCGGCGGGCGCGGAGGCGACGCAGGCGGCGGCCAAGGAGGTCCTGCTGGCGGCGGACGGTCGGACGGAGCCCGAGCGCCAGGCGCGCCTCCTGCTGCTGCAGCTGCGCGCCGCCGCGGCGCCGCGCTTCGCCGTGGGCGGCGGCCTCTTCGCCCTCGACGTGCGCTTCTTCGTCGGCCTCATGGGCTCCGTCGCCGCCTACCTCGTCGTCTTCGTGCAGTTCGCGCAGCAGACGCAGGAGATCAAGGGATACAGCCACAAGGCGTGTGTGCGGAACGAAACGGGCGAGTGATAGCCTCTCATTGAGGGTTCAGAGTCAGTCAAAGCCGCAGTGGATTTTTAAGAGCAAAAACGGCTTCCTTCCATGCAGAAGCAAAGCCGGCTGTCCCATGCTGTAGATGTACTGCATGTATAAGATTCTAAAGCCTAAATAAAGCCAGTCAGCTAAATTTAAAACACCAATGATGCCTTCTTTCTCCGCTAGATGCTGGAAGGGGGTAGCAAAATATACACGGTCAGACGGGAGAGAAAGCCTGATGGCCTGGGTCTCGCCACATAAAATAACATATCATTGAATTGAATTGCCATGAGAGAAGTACGCTAGAGGCAAGGCATTTATGTATCAGACATAGTAGAGCTCGGTTTTATACGAAAATAATATTTTCCTAAATATGCACACACTTATTGTTCAAAGTATGTAAAATGAAATAAACATATACAAAAATAGTGAAAACAAAAAATTAATCAAAAGTTAATATGGCGTAAATAAAAAGATCAAAGTAACTTTATTTAATTTTCTCTGTGAAACAATATGAAATGATTTTTGTACGCAGAAAGTACGTTCCTTAATCGTTTCTGGCATTTACATATAGGAAGCGGTGGTCGACGAAAATCCCGCTTTAAACATTCAAATATAAATCTGATTACTTTGTAACTTAATATTGTTTAACATAGGCTAAAACTTTGCTCATCATCAGAAGTAGTGGAAATCATCTTCAACCCGTTACACAGAAAAGAGAATACGAGGCTTCGAAAATGACCTGAAGGCAAATTAATCTCCTCTCTTTAATATAATAATAATAATATAATAATATAATAATAATACATAAAAAAACAATAATAACAATAATAATATAATAACAATAATAATAATAATAAATTCAAACATCAAATTATATATATATTTGTTGTAAATACCATTTTCCTACAACATTTTTATACAATATTTTCATTACCACTAGTTCATGCACAATTTGGATTCGAAGCCAACCGTTTATTGTATAATTAGGACAAACTTGCTGAATATATTTCATAATACGACTTATATAGGTTATAAATGCACTTTCTGAGCTGTGCGTGTGTTCGCCTCAATGTAGGAACCAAATACAAACAACTCTAAAATAACTGATCTGGTTATCACATGACATTCGCTGCAATGCGAGTATTCGACATCATGTCAAATGGGAATATTCGCCGTGCGGTTGGGGTATGCAGCAATCAAATATGTATTAGTCATCAAATGATGTCGGTCGCACTGTCGATCAAAAGTGAACTGTAATACTATGCAATTCTCTATATCTAGAATTAGTGATAAAACGTCCTGTGGTTTCATCCAAACACACAGATTTTTTCAATTTACTCTTGCTATGATAACAACACATTCTGTAACAACTACATGATTCCAATACAATGAACTTTAGGCAATTCGTTTCATGAATTATTTGAAACATCTTTTGCATGTGCAAACAATGTACCAATGCGACATAAATCATGGATGTATAAGAAGAATCATGAATTAGTATATTTCAGTACTAAAAGTAAGTGAATGGTCGAAAGAACTCATCGGTGAAATTTGTAACATTCCCCTACTATGGTGACCTACGATCTAGCTTTATGAAATTCAAGGTTTCTATCCTGTTTTCCGGAATCGGTAACAATTTTGCATGTTTTGTTTCGCACATCTCTCACAAGCGAGTGCTGGAGGGTTGAATTTTGTACAAGAACAAACTTTAAAGGAAACTGATTTATATGAATTTATAGGAAACACGTGTTTCAACAACAATAAATGTTCGGACTCCACTTCACGTCTGTTTAATAAAGAATTTTTCTCACCGGAAAGTTCATCTCGGGCTTGTGTCATCGTAGGATTTCAGGTATCTTCTTCATTAAATCAATTTTCCAAATACGTCAGTACTACTGTGAACAATATTAGTTTGTAACACAAAAATAGAAATATTTTTCCATGATGAATTCTTCTTTCGGAATGACTAGACAGGTATCACGAACTCGGAGGATAACGTAGATTATGTGACATACATATTCCATTTTCAAAATTTCTGAAAAATTCTTATTTTCTTTTCATTAATTACTCAGGAACAGGAAAACCCTTAATAGTAGTGTAAGATACCCATTTTTAATCAGACTTTTGAATTTTCACAACCCAAGCAACTGAAAGTTTAATTTTTCCATAACATAATCGATTTTGCAATAAAACTATTTTAAAATCTCAATAAACCCAAATGTCCTTATATTTTTTGACAATAAATAAGATAATTCTTCAAAAAAGCCTTTATTTTAAGATCACGACGTTTCACATGTATGTTTCACGCATTATCAGGTTCATAAAATATTAGACATATTTTCATCTCAAAGTAAAAATGACGATCTTCTTGACGATATTGAATACGTTTTTTAAATAAGTACAAAAACATGAAAATCATTAAAATTCGAGATTCAGTGAAAAATGCAAGTAACCAAAGTAGAAATTCCATGAGAGAAAACTCACCAAACATTTTTAAACGAGCGCGCATTCGATTCAAAAACATGTAAAAAATGTTTTCAAACAAATGATAATTCCATTATCTATAACGGGGAATGTTCCCATTATAAGAAAGTGCATTCTGACTGTATGGAGAGATGCAAGTACGGGCAGAAAAGGAATCGACTGACGTAAAATATAGACTTTTTTCACTTGGAAGAATTACCACAACGTAATATTACGTTGTATCATTTTAATTTAGCATTCTAAGACAACATATGCCTTTATTTGCTGCTTAATATGGTATTTTATTAAAAATATTAACACAATGTGACATTATCACAAAGTTGAATGCAAAAGATTGAAGTATGATCAGAATAATATTATTCCATTCCACGTTAAATAATACTTTGCATTTAACTTCATCTTCATAACTAATTAACCAGTCTACCTACGAGAGACATCAAACTGCAGTCATTACACCTATCCCGCCTATCACTTCGACGTACTGCTTCATCGGAAGATCAACGACCAGCGTCCAAACACGCAACTCGGCCTGGTTCCCCTTCGCTGATAACCCTGCTGGGTCGAGTCGTCAGCTGGGGGAAGACCAGCGGTCCCCAGTGGAATCGAGGTCGGGGAGCAGGAAGACGGCACTGCGCTGCGGCCAGTGGGCGCCCGGACGTCAGCGCGCTGCCGCCACCACCTCCACAGCCTTCTCATTCGCCACAGCTGCTCCTCCGAGATTCCCACCCACCCAACTTTTTTTTCCCATTTGCACGATGGATTGGAGGTGAGTAACCATCTTATTATTCGTCTCAAAAATTCACGAGTGACTTATTGTTGATCAACTGTTGGCAGGGTCCACAAAAATTGGATTTTGTCAAAATCGAATTTTTATGGATGCGCCTAAAAAAAGGGGGGGGGGCATGCCGCATCATTTTTCTACGAATTTCTAAAGTGATTTACTCTGCATGTGAAAAGATAACGAGTGGCTATTATGAATTTTGAAAGTGTCAGTGAAAGGTCATGTGTTTCGAAACTTACACAATGTCTCAGAATAAACGTTACAAACTTCTACAAGATAGAGAGAAACCGAAAATGGTCTCTTTTTACTGAATACGAGGTGGGAAATTTGATATAACTAACTTACGCAAGTGACATTTTCCGTGATTATTGGGCAAATTCTCATGCATTGATGCTCAGCAGATACACGAAATCTGTTTGTGTGCATAAGAACGTAATCTTATGAACACTTATACATGATATGTAGCCTGACAATCATGGTAAACTGTCACGTGAGTAACTTGGTTGTATAAAATTTCACACATGTTTTTTGGCAAAAAGCAAATATCTTCGAATCTCCTACAAACCTACAAGTTTGAAACATGTATGCTGAGACACCTGTAAATACGTTAATAATATCCGGATAAACTAACATGACCAACTAATTATCATGATGACAAACGGATGAATGTTTATATCTCACGTTTCTATAGGACCATTTCATAGGTACTTTACCAAATTTGTGAAAATATAATTTATTATGGAAGGCTACGAGTCTTTTTCCAAAATGTTCGGTAGGGAACAAGGCCCCCCTGCGTACGTCTAATGTCCTCCAGTGTTTGTGTTCATTTCTGTTCGTGATAATTTCTTTTTCCATGCTCATTCATATAAATCCCCATGGTGAGTGCACTAATACACGCGGTTTATTGCACTGAAAAAGTATAATCATCGTCACAAAATTATTACGTTCGACTTTTTTCAACCTTAAAAATTCAGCTCTAAGATTTGCATTTTTTTGAGCCATATGAAAACGCTGATTCTATTACTGAAACTATCTAGATTTCAAACAGTTGTTGCTTTATATCTTATGATTTTAACAATTTGTTTTTTAGGGGGTCCATATTTGCCAGACCACGTGTCATACATCTGTCATTTTTTCCTATAAGCCATACTTCCAACTGTCTCGGCTGAAACTGGGCCTATTATAGCACTGTTGGCGTGGCCAAAGCATCCACGATCCTTTCATTCGTCGTTACCCGAATTCATGTTCCAGAGGCCGTAATTTCCTCTCTTCAGTGCTGCTGCTGCCGGCACTCATTGCAGCGGTGCCCCAAGATCCCGAGCTGCTTCAGCGGACCGAGTTCTGCAACCGGATGTGCCCAGACGAACCACCGCCCCCGCCGGCGCTGCCGTTCGGTGCTGCCCTTGCGGGGTGCCCGGGCCTTCGGTGCCCCGCGCCAGTGTGCCCCGCGCCTGTGTGCCCTTCGCCCGCGTCGCCGCCCGCGTGCCCGCCCTGCCCCGGGCGACGTGCCCCTCCCCCTCATCCAAACGCGCTCGCGTGGAAGACTCTCAAAGCCAGAAACTACACGACCACGTCGTTGGGGCATTACAAGTACTACTCCGACAGCAACTTGGACTGGTTCGACGCTCAGACGCTCTGCGAAAGCGAGGGCGCGCACTTGGTCATTCTCAACTCCGAGGTACGTAAATCACTCCTTTGCCTACTCTAAAGGATCCGCTGATAATATTTTTACTTTCGTCATCTGCAGATCGCTGTGTTGGTGGTCGAAAGAGTAATCGGTTTCTTCAGGAACTAAATTAAGTCCAATGTCTCACAAATATTGTTGTTGATATTATTAGTATTGTGAATAGTAATGCATAAAATAGAATAGAATAGAATAGGGTAGGGTAGAAACGTCCCCTTTCAATTAGAAGAAGCCGAAGATTATCGTTATTTGCAACATTTATTTATCAATCTTGTTAAAGACTCGTGTATCTAGACCATTGCGGCCCAGCACTGTTTCATGACAAATTGTTTCAGCTAGAGTGAAGTGTGATGGGGGATGAATAAAAAGGAACAATAAACTCACATAATTATAAATACGAACAGTAGAAGCAATGCGGGAGGAAAGAAATGGGCGAGTTCTTATTGGAGAGAATACCAGGAAAGGTCAACATAATTTATTGCGAGGAAGTTACAGAATGTGTTGATAAGTAATGCAGCGAAAAGACACATGAGCAAATTCCGTGGGTGAGGAAATAAATTAAGAAAGTTATTGCGAACCAAGAACCAAAGAATAAACAGACAACGTTAAAATTCGTATGACCGATGAGGAAATAGATTCTGTACGAGAAATCAACGAGTTTTTACTGTTTTTTGACTAAATAAATCTAAATCTAATTTTTTCACAGCAAGAAGATGAGTTCATCAGAAACGCGATATTGCCTGGTTGGATACACATCGGAATCCATCACCTCAACCCACGTGGAACATACACAACTGTCCTAGGTATGATTATCATTTTATTTAATATTGCAGTCCCATATCAAATTATTCATTGCCGCAAATACGTGACACGTTATTTTAAGGTCAACAATCTATAAACATGCAAATACAGAATGAGCCATTTCATGTGGGAAAAACTCAATAGCCTGCATTAGCAATAAATAATTCATTTTACCGTTTTCGCCTCAGAAGCATTGATGTTTCTAGAAAGTGCTTTTTGTAATCTTTTTCGATTGCGTAGCGGGTATATCATTACAAGCATATCCGCATTTCCAAACCCGAAGCACTATTGTCCGGAGGTCATTAGCGTCATTGGAGAACAGACTGTGCCCTGCCATTCTGACACCGGCTAGTGAGTCAGTCATGGTTCTGACGGTCTTTATACAGGCGTGGCACCAGGTCATCAGTCTTAAGTTGTATGCTGACGAAATTTGCACCTCAATTCTCTCAATGTACAAGTTATCGTTGTTCTTCGTTTGTATAAAAAAGTACATTTTGTCTTTGACAATACAAATATCCATAAATATTCAATTCATTTAAATTACACTCTTCGTTACATCATAGAAGCAGAGCAATTGTCAAGAAATAGCGTTGCAGAATCGTAGTGTTGCTTCTCACCCAAAATATTCGTCACATTTCTTCATCTCATTACGTTCAAGATGGTGGTATAGCATGGAAAGCAAATAAAAATTTAAAATGATACACTACAAGGCAAAGAAAAATATGATTTAGTAGTTCAAATATATTACATATGATAATGGTGTCCTGTGGTAGAGTTTTTGGGGTGGTTTGATCATTTTTTTAAATCTTTTAAAATGATTTTACAATTCCAAAATAAAGTGTACTCAGATTTTTAATTAGTATAGTGAACTATTTTGTAAAACGTCCTCTAATGGCAATACAGATCAGTAACTTTTGCACTATGCACTCGTTGCACGTCTCAAAAGCTATTGGTAAATCACACTTTTGTACGGTACATTACAGTATTTTTCACTACATATCCTTTACCACTGGAGAACATTTTTTATTATAGTAAGTTTATCTTTCATTTTTACAAGTAATATTGCAATTACTATTAGCTGTGTACCGTACACATGGTAGTAAATACACGACTTTTATTGATATGAACCAGTCTGACGCAATGTCAAGAACGTGGGGACATATTATAACATTACTGAAGCGTTTTAGCCAATAATGCAATTTTCTTAGAAGATTCATAAAATCGCGTTTCACAAAATCTTATTTCTTTATTACATAAATGGAATGAAAATCAGATTTACATCTAAGCGAAACATTAGCTAAAATAATTTAGAGCATATTTCTCTAAATTTCAGATAAAAGAAAGCAGAGAGAATTTGAGAATAATTACACAAAAATATAATCATTTTATTTACGAATGTATTAAATTCGATAATCAAGATCGGGATTTTAATAATTTATCAACTACTGTTAAAGGTAAACAAAAACTTTCAGAGCGCCGATTCACGACCCTGTTCACCTGACTTCATAACCTAAATTTTACATTAGTTGAGAGTTCGTTATGTCACCAGTAACTGCTTACAATTCCTTCAACTCAATCCGTAACACAGTATTTTGTTTCTGTTTGGTTTCAGGACAACCTGTTAACAGTACGGGCTTCAGACATTGGCTTCCTGGACATTTCGTTCGAAATTTGACGAGTAATTGCGGCTTCATCAACAAAGGAGTGCGTGGAATGGGCATGGGACGTTGCAGGGATGTAGGCCCCTTCATCTGCGAGCTCTGAGACTGGCGATGGATTAGTGAAGTTTGTTGCAAAGAACGTTAAACTTTAAATTTAAATTTCGAATGTCAATTTCAAAATAATTTCCATTACAATGTTTCTCGTTCGTACCACGAAAGAAGGTATTTTTGTCAGGTGGTATGGTGCATACATCAATTGTTACGTTTATTATTATCTGTATGATTCGTTTTGCGCATAAAGAACAATATCATCTCATACAGCTAAGCATTATATGTATTGTATCATCATTTAAAGTCATAATCAACATTGATTTCCAAAACAGATTAATTTTACCTGTTTCAAACTCTTTAAAATGAATATGTACGAGTATTTTTCAATGTTTACTTGAATGTTTCATAAAAAATTATTTATAACTTGTACTTTCTTAGCTCATTTTTTGTGAAAAACTACCACTTTCACAGTTAAGCCTATAACGTGTCCCATGTAACAAAGACCCGTTGCCGGAGATCGTTAAGGCAGTAGTGTCGTAGCAATCTGAAGGACCATGGGTTCGAATCCCGCCTCGGTCCTGGTTGTATTTGTGTTCGTCGTTTCACACCCAACATCATCACCACATCAGGTTATCTTCACAGTTACCATACCGTTAAATGTAATCGTGGTCGCTAATGACCTAGATGTTGATGTGACCTTAAATAACAACAAAAAAGACATGTTGCCTCTAGGATTAAAACCACTGCATCGAAACAATGCAAAATAAAAAGTCCTTATGTAAAATATTATCTGTCAACATCGTACATGAGCCACGAAAATCAATTTCAAATACTCTCTAATAAATAAAAAGGATCACGGCATTATAATATTGGATAAATGATGCGTATTTTGCCTCTTCATTTATATACGAACTTTCCTACCAGCAATTTTAAGGACTGACTGCCTTCTCTAATTGTTTCTAAACTGTGGGAAAAATCAGAACTTAAAGATAGATACCTGTAGTGATAACACAAAGTCGGAAAATAAATTCTCAATATTTTTCTCTCAAAAAAGGCAAATAAGAGGATAAGTTGAAGGATTTAAATGAATGCTGTCGTATTTTAATGTTGTCCTTGTTTGAGGTGCACAGCTATTAAGCTTTATGAAAAAGTGCCATGGTTATCTGTTTCGAAATATGCTGCTACTTCTGAAACATAAGGATCGTAAAAGCGGTTATCGGTTAGTTCATGAAAAATGCGTAGTTTCTTCTCTATTCTCTGAAATGTCTAATAAATGATTTTTTTCATTTTATTCATAATGTGTTCATATAAGTTTATCTCTAACAAAATTGTACTCAACAAATCAAGTAATACGTCTTGTAGGAAAGTACTGTTTTCCACGCTTTAAAGTATAATTGGGCTAGTCTTTGCAATATCTAAAATGTACAGCTGTTTGTAAACTGCAACTTCTTTTACATTTATATCAAGGAATTGACAGTGGGGAACATCTTAATCTTTATCTCTACGTACCTTTCAGGAAGTCAGCGTATGGCTGCGCTAATAGACAAAAGATATTGCGGAATTGTATTGATATGTTTACTTAAAAGTGTTTGGATGTCATTTGTTTCACAGTAAAGAGTGGTATCACTCCCAGGCATGTTAATGTGAGGTAGACATGCCCTTCCATTCTGGCAGTAAATATAGGTTGATTCAGTCTTCGTTGCTAATACGCCGAGACCTTGTCCCATATGTAATGTACACACTTAATTTGCCAAAATTGAATTATCTTCGTCGTTTAGTTCTGCAAATGATTAACGTTCAACTTTGAACTATGCGCTTGTGCTCGTGTAACATGAGCGGCAAGCGGATTCGTCTCGCGTTAGAGCTTTCCACTTCTCTGGACATCTCAGTTATTAACACTATCCGCCAAGTCTCAGAAGCTACCACAAGGTAAATCTGGGCGAGGTCAACGCATCACAGTTCATCACCTCGTGAACACTGAATTGTGAATGATTGTGAAATAAAATAATAACTAAACTTAAATACATTCAGGTCACCGCCCGGTATAATGATTAAGAGCAACGCAATTGACTCTAAAAACAAGCAAGGACTGACACTGATCCAGCATAATGATATTAATACAAATTGCGGCGGATCTTGCTGAATCGCCATTCTCCTGCCCCGACCCTTTAATTTAGGGCCCCTTCACACGGCGCTTCTCAGCAGCGCGTTAGAGTATCACCTTTGCTGGCAAAGCATCGGTTTAAATGGAGGTATTCACATGAGCGACGTAGTCGTGCTGCTGTGGCGCTCAAAGGTGAACTCTCGCTCCCAACAGCGCAGACGCGCGTTCGCGCCACAGATAGAAAACGCTGCTCTAAATGTCAACCTTCACACTAGACGCGCCACTGAACCGATTTTTGCCTGCTGCCTCTGCCTTTCGGCCGCTTGAGCCCAGAGCGGTGAGGATCACAAAACCTTCCCGTCCCGCTCACAGTGGCGCTTAGCGGTGGCTGCGTAGGCACTCATAATGTTTTCCATTCGTTGCTCTCAACCCCACACTACTGCAGAGCTAAATCGTCATTGCTCTGCAACAGGGCTGCCCCACAAGCGTGGAGAGCAGACACAAATGAAACGGATTCCGGAACTGTATCAGTGCGTGTGCGCTGCGCAGTGAGATTATAGATGGCCGTTCTTGATCTGTAACTATAGTACACTATATTTTCAACCGAAAGGCTTCTGCAGAATTTTTTCGTTATTGAAAACCAAAAAACTAATAAGAAGAGCATTTCCGCTGGCATAGGTATAAGCGTGCGAGAAACATTTCTTGGCAGGTGTATTTGAATGATTTTGTAAGGACATTAGTTACTATTTTTATTTTTTACTTTATTAGCGTTTCGAAATTAAGACGTACCAACACTTTGGTTATTAAATAACACTGGATTTGTTAGCATGAAGTTGTTCATGGTTAAATTTTAGGAACACACAAACTTATTTTCAAAACTTTGCGTGTCACAAAAATTATTTTAAGACATTTCTTCTAAAACATGATGTACTCCATCATTCGAAGAGTCTCTGTGTGACAGAAGATTCTCAATTGCCTTCACATTTTTACCACAAATCCAAATCATCATTCATAAATTCCGTACCTAACCTCAAAATCGCACGGTGCAATTGACTGCACCGACATGCTCCTCAGTGCAATTTAGAGCGCCATGATGCGAATGAAACATGCTCATCTTTGCCATGGTGTGATAAAGCGATCAAATGGAACCCGAAAGCTGCCCTGAGTGCACAATGAGAGCGCGCCAGTGCGGCAAATGAAATACGCTTCCAGTTAAGTTTCAGCAGAGGCAGCGCCCTGACTTTCCAAGTTGCATACAAGTGGATATAAACATAACCTTGTGGAACGCCTAGCAAAGTATGAACTCCCGTCTCATCGACAGACATGCAAATATCCCTAACGACGTGGGATGCTCACCTCATCCACACCTCACTGTCTCTAGAGCATAATTCCTCATCCCATTAGCTACACACATTCACACATGTGAGATACAAAGTGGCCTCTTAAGATCGCAATAAATGAATTACGAGTTTGTTTCGCAGGAGAGAGGGAACAACAACGAATCGCCGCCCAGAAGTAACTAAATGTTTTGCAATGATTTGCCACCATCAAATCGCGTTAAGAGTTCGATAGAATGCTTCAGAATGTACGGAATGATGAATCAGAAGCCGTGCGCTTCAAGAATTTTCACTTCATCATATATCTGAAAACTTGGTAAATGGGGGAGGCTATCGAACAAGATTCCAGGAAACAGGAACAAGGTGGTAGATGGGAACATGAGGCTCTAGGCAGACGTAAGATATAATGAACGCGCATCTTTGCAAGTTACCGCACATTTAAAGCAGTACGGCTTAAATAATTTTGTAAAAACTTGTAGCGAAGTTAAAAACATTCGTCTGACAACTCTAATGTCACAATTGAATGACTGTTGTCACAAAAAGTGACGAGCTGAGCTTTGGTGACGTTAAGAAGTGTTTTACAAGTCGAAAAACGTGGGTATGCGACAACTAAGGCGTATCCATTGAACCTATATAGTCTCACATCCACTACTGCAGATCCTGTGAAGAAAAACACCTTACTTTATAATCCACAGAAAATGTCGTAGTATAACACTGCATTCCCTGCGCTTTTCACTCGATACGTATGTGAAGGTTAAAACAATCACGATATCTCAATAACCTCCATTATCCAAATCACAACCGCAATTACCTCTCATAAGAGTAGTTCTCTCAGAATGGTACGCGAACATCACTGTTTTGAAGGTATTACATGATAAAATTACTTCATTAAAACACCTCTTAAGCTATGGACAAATTGCACACTGAAATTCAATTAACGTGTATCGAAGTTAATGCAAGTTAATGTAGAGGCTTAGACGGCGAGGTGATGGATAAGCGTAGAGGTTCTGCCATTACAGAGTATTACAATAAACGAAATTGTGTCGATGATTGAGAACGTCTGATGAGTTCCAAAACAAATATGGAATCACTCGTCCGTCCACGTCAAACTTTCTGGCGGCGGCCTACAAAGATCAGCGGACAGCGTCCGATCGGGCTCATGTCCTGGTAAACGATCTGTTTGCTGATAAGACGGCCACCAGAGGCGCCAATTGGGAGCGACCCAGCGACCCCTGGCAGCATCGGGGTCGCGGAGGAGGAAAGCGTCGTTCTCGCTTGAAGCGGCGCCGCCGCCGCCGCCACCGCCGCCAGTGGGCGTCCTGACGTCGCGTCGCCGCCATCGCCTCTCTTTGAGCTGCGGCAGGCGCGGCTCCGTCAGGAATTTCACGTCGCCACCGTTGCTGTTTTCGTTGTTGTATTTTTTCCCCTTTTTTCTATTCTCACAATGTTTTGCAGGTGAGTGTAGAAAGTATTTTTGGCGATCCAAGCAATTTCTCATGATCTTTTCATGATCATGAAAGTATTTTTCATGATCATGAAGTGTTTACAACACTTGAAGGATTGGTACTGCGTATATGTTTTCAAATTTTGCTATTTTACTGTTTAAGCGAATTCGTAATTAACTATACTATAGTCATTTTGATTACCTATTTCGGAGTAATCATCAGACACTAATGGGTGAATCTCACAATATAATAGTTGCGAGATAAATGTTTTAATTCACATTTTTTATTATTAATTAAAATTTTATGTAAGTGCGATAATACTACGTAATATTTTGAATTTTCACTCATGTATTTAGTTTCTCATAGAATTTTTTTCTGCGGTGATCAAACGCAAACAAAAATTAGAATATTCTGTACATACTATATTTGATTTAAAAATGGAGGATATAATGTTTAATTTCTAGACTGTAAATAATGATTTGCCCTATATTGCTCACAACTGTATATCGTATTTTGGCAATCATTTGATTATAAAAGTATTGTATTCGTCAAAAATTCTACATGGTAGTTTAATATGATCATCTAAACATAAAATTATAAATAATAAATTGACATATACGTACAAAAGTGTGAAAAATTACTATTAACGATTACAATGATATATATTTATTTTCTAAGATCTGCCTTTTTTAATCCACCATGAATTTTTGAGGAAATAAATTAATTTTCTTAAAATCTTATATTTACTCTCACAATAACACGCTGCATCTCATCTCCCCAACAATTATCCTAAGTACTGTTCTCCAATTCATAAAATCATTACATTATTTATTTCATATTCATTATATATTTTAGCCAAGTCTTGTTCGGGCAGCCTAAACCTACCTAAATCTTTTAATTTCTACTATAACTGCTCTTTCATTTGAACTAAGTATAAAGCAATTGTTTGAGAAAACGTATAGCCATCGTAAAAGGTATTTCTTTCAAAAGAAACCTGTTTTGGACGCATCACGATCATCATTGCTGCGTGAGGGGGGGCTTGTAGGCACGAAGATGAACAGTTACTCTTTTGTCTGCCCGTCATCCGACAGGGTCACCATGCAAACGAAAAAGTCCTTAGAGGAAATAAATACCTATTATGATTAGACAATGTATTCTTGAATTGAAAAAAAAAACTTTGAAAGAGACCATAGTTCTAGAACAATGTATTTTTTTGTTTTATTGATTTAACGTTAAAAACAGTTAAGAAATATGTGTGCCGTATAATGGGGAGAAATGTATTCTGTGAATGGTTTCCTAAATTATGAGATCCCTTCCCTAACCCGTATACTTGTTAAATTCTGAATACAAATAAAAATGTAATGAATTGATATTGCAGATTGCTCACACTCGCTGCCTCAGTATTGCTGTTGACCTCGGCAGTAAGATCAGTGAACCGGGATGATAGAATAAGCGTCCGAGCCGAATGGTGTTCTCGGGTGTGCCCGAAGAGGACGATCTCCGAGCCAGCGACGGTACCCGGCACACCGCCTCCGGAATGCCCGCATCTCACATGTCCCACCCCAGAGTGTGCCACGCCGGTGTGCCCACCGCCCCCGCCGCCGCCAGTGTGTGCCAAGTGCCCCGAAGGATCCCCCTCAGCCCCACGCACGCTGCCGTGGAAAACCCTCAAAAACTACACATTCACCCCCCAAGGGTATTACAAGTACTACTCGGAAATGTACGTGGACTGGTTCGACGCACAGATTTTCTGCGAAAGCGAGGGTGCGAATTTGCTCATTCTCAACTCCGAGGTGAGTTTTACATATCAGATTCCTCATCAATCTTATATAAAACACTGCTCTAAAAAGGATTATAACTCGAAGGCTCTACATTTACTATCAAGCAGCAGGTTCATGTATTGATATTTATTGCTCTTCTCCCAGGCATAATTAAAAGGGAGTTCCCAGGTTTCCTAAGAGAGTTTAGTCTAGTTTAGTTATGTTGGACTATACAGGACGTTTGACACACTTACCCCTGCTAAAACTCCTATTCATTGGTATACCCTGCCACATGATATTTGATTATAAAACAACATTAAGCTCAAGATAAGTGATTTTGTCCTTTAGCTGGAATCAAATAAGGGAAGTCAAAAGCATGAGGTGTTTGGTACGAAAAAAAGGTTTATTTGGCTTTCTCTGTAAGGATAAATAGTCTATAATTGCGTATGATACGAAACATTGAAATGAGATAATATTAAGGTCAGGGTTTTACAAAATGTAGTCAACAAATAATTTTAATATAAACATAAATATTTTGTTAAAACACAATGAAGCATGGTTGAGATGTTTGACTCATCATACAGAAATACTATTAGCAACAAAATAATGATAAACTTTTGCAAATATTTGAGAGTATATTTCATAAAAGTGTTTCTTTTATATACATATATAAGCCACTTTTCAGAAACCAAAATGCAATGGAATAAGTAAAGAACTACCAAAAAAGAGGCAAGGGTTTTGGAACACTGGTACAGACACACGGCAGACCGGTGAACGTTCCCACTGTTCCTGCCTGATTACCAATAGAAGGCACTTCTACACACACACACACGATCGCGTGTGCACGCGTGCGCGTATCAGCTTCATCAGCATTCGCGCAATGCTCTGTATACCGTCTATTTCGTTTTCATTTGAATGGCCCTCACTTTTATAGTGAAATGTCGCATAAATAAAACTTCATGGAATATTCAATTAAATTTTTCGCATGTAAAATACGAATATTATTTTTATGCAATATACGTGGCTATCCGTTTCGCGGCAGTTACAAACGAGGGAAAGGTTTTTTGAAAAAACTTGGTTTTTTTATTAATGTCGAGTACAATCCACACGGATTTCTGTATTGCCTGACCACAATTCGCTTCATGCTTGTACATGTCATATCATGCACATCATGCAAAGAGCTGACGATGCTAGGATCCTGCGGAGTGCTATGAGAGAAGAACTCCATTTCGACAAATAAAACGAATGTAGCCTCTGGCCCTCACTTCCCAATATTTTCCTCTCGTTCAGATTGGATGTTTTAAATATATGCTCTAAATGCGGGGCGTGTCATGGCCAGAATCGGAAAAGCGTTGGACTAGTATGGATTACGATTTCTGTGTTCCCTTTCCTAAGTCAAACTTGTGCCAGCATGTATTGCATGCAAAATGGGGATTTCTGTATCCGAGCGAAAACACTTTCTTCTTGAGTGCCTTGCATCTGTGCACGTCTTTACCTGAAGCTATCGAGTGAATTCGAAATTATTTGCTGTCCCTTGGCCCTTCGAGCGCGATAGTCATGTTCAGGATGTTCAGGACGAACGAATACATATCATATTACAGGTATTCCCCGCCAATGTCTAAGCACTTTTGCCGTAATTCTGGCAGCTTCCGTATTTGCTTAGCAAACCATTCTTTGAGTGAATCCGAGCGTCATTGTCGGACAACTGCAAGACGTTCATCATCGGAACTTCTTACTCTGCATGACCTCTTTCTTTGCGTCGGATAGGGCACAGTAGCTAGGAGCAAGATCTGGCGAATATAGAACGTCTGAAGTCTCGTGGAACCGCTATGTCTCGACGATGGTGGCCAGACGCTCAAAGAACTCCACTGGATTTGCACTGTATCGTTTGACCAACTGTTGGCACATCTCTACAAGCTTCTGTTTCTGCGTAATGCCAAGGGCATGAGTCACCGATTGCGCACACACTTTCATATTTAATTTCTCCCCCGTGGTAGACCTTTGCCTTCTCTAACTCATATATAACAATTGCTGCTGCAATAAGCTCTCTTTCCCCTCCCTCTCACTCTTTCCCCTCCTCCTCATCTTTCCCCTCTCTTTCCCCTCCCTCTCATCTTTCCCCTCTCTTTCCCCTCCCTCTCATCTTTCCCCTCTCTTTCCCCTCCCTCTCATATTTCCCCTCTCTTTCTTTCCCCTCTTTCTTTCCCCTCTCTTTCTTTCCCCTCTCTTTCTTTCCCCTATCTTTCTTTCCCCTATCTTTCTTTCCCCTATCTTTCTTTCCCCTATCTTTCTTTCCCCTATCTTTCTTTCTTTTTTCTTTCTTTCTCGCACTTCCGCTCTCACTCCGGGCTTCTTTTTTCTCCCCTGTTTCCCTTCACACTCCTTTCTCTCTTTCTCACATTTTTCCAATGGATACTCTTTCATTTTCATTACCTCAAAGATATAAAAACAAGTATTTAATGTATATAAGAAGAAAAACAAATTTTAAATGAAATAATTGTGATACAGTTGTCTACGCATTATATAATTTAAAATCATATTTTTCCACAGGAAGAGGATAACTACATTAGAAACCAAATGAAGCCGGGATGGATACATATCGGCATACACCATCTCTTTCCAGATCGAGGGTTTACAACTGTTTTAGGTAAGATAGAAAAAACACTTTTTAACTATTTATTCTTCACAGTGACTGATTCCATTCCTGCAAAATGACAATGTGCATTCAATTCATGAACATGCAAAAGTTAACCATTCTTTATTACTTATTCAATGTAATTCTTAAAACGTTTTCTGTTTCTGTATCATTTCAGGAAACCCAGTTAATAGTACAGGCTTCAATACATGGCTCTCTGGACATTCCGTTCGGAATGTCACGAATAATTGCGGGTTTATCAACAAAAGCAGACGTGGGTTAGGAATGGGACTTTGCAATGACAGAGGGCGTTTTATCTGCGAGATCTCATTCGGATGAACAACTAATGTTGCACAGCGAAGTAATATTTTAAGTTTGAGAAATATGAATTTCATTTCAACTTCCAACATCTCTAGGGTTCTAGTCGGCATGGTTTACAAACGTTTGATTAACACTGGTAACGTGAACAGAATCTTTAGAAATAATAATGTGATATCCTTCAAAAGGAAACTTTAAAAACAACAAAATAATTGCCTGTATTAATACAATTGCATGTATTACTGTATGTTAATAATATTTAAGTTGTAATATCCTACAGATAATACAAGATTTATATTTCATGGCGACTATGATTTTTTATGAATTATCTGACGAACGATTTTATATTGCGTAACAAAAAGCAAAATATCTGTCACTTTTATCACGTTCATTTAGAATATTTCCTCTTTAATAATATCAAATGTCAAAAGATAGTACATTTTAACGGTCATCAAAAAAATCACCAAAGACAAAGTCGCCAAGATAACATTGTCAGTTTTCAAAAGTGAAGAATTTAATTTTGTTTGAAACAATGTGGTTATTAACGAAGTATTGACTGTCAATATAAAATTTATTGACAAACAATTGAAAAGAGTTTTATTATTCTTGATAGAAAATACGAGAGCTTCAGTTGTTTCAGGGTATTATTTTCGTGCAGAAATTGGTATGTGCCATATAGAAAACATGGTAATTAGAAACGGGTATGTTTTCATTACTAAGTAGCGTATATAATAGCGCAATTTGTGTTGTTTCAAATATATTATTTATTTTTTAAAATGAAGTAAAAAACTTCCCTTTAACTGTACTTTTTTGTAAATACATAAACTTGTTCATAAAATTGGTCATCAAATATTGCGTTTCTGGCTTAACCAATATACCTTCAATATTCCTTAAGTGAAAGCTTTGCAGTGTTGAACTCTTTCTGTATGAATTAAAGATGAAGGCTGAAGATCAATCTGTTGAGTAAGTATAAAAAATTCCGAACAGGATTTAAGGGTCCTATTGTGAAATCAATAACCTCTAACTTAATATAATCGTTGGAAACTATTTTTTATGGTTCTGCCATTTTACCTACTTTTCGATCAATATCACTATAACATGGCATTGTAATTTGTAAGCGTTTCAATAAAGTGTTGACATTAAAAAGTAAACAAACGTTAAATAGATTAAACATGGGTATTTAAATGCTCAATAATTATACTCCTCTAGTGCTGATGAAATAGATCAATACATTGTGAAGTGTACAATAATATATCAAATTACAGAATGCTGCGCAATTCTTGATTTAGCGGAATAAAATTCTATTCACAACACTTTTTCATTATTTTTGAAACGTACAGCCCCAAAACCGTTTACGCTAGTTATAAAAAACGTTCGAATGAAACATCCTTTTTATTTATGTTCTCCCCTAGGATATATGCAAGCCAAACATAAATACTGAAAGAATACAAAAGGAGATACCTGAATAGAGCTTGAAACCAAGACATGCTTTCAAACTTGAAGTGACAATCAAATTTTGCCATTCCAACTCATAAGAAACGTAAAAGGAGTATCCATTTTTGTAGTAAACAGTCGTAAACGAGACTAAAAACTGAATTAAAAACATTCGACACACTAAGAACTCAGCTTAAGTGAAACGAAAAATCACATCACAAAAAATATACACAACGTTTCGGAATATCTACACACAGAAATATACACACTTTTGATCTACGCAAAATTCAATTTAACATTACATTATGCCGAAGGTTCAAAATAAATTATTGTTATTCCATTCAGATCAGTTTCTGAAAATCTGTATACACTGTATACTGTATAAAACACAGTAAAAATTTAAACACACCGTGTCCATTCAAAGAAATCTTCCATCATAAGACAAAATTTGTTTTTTTCAATAAGCACAAAGAGTAGAAAAATAATGCAATTGAACAATCTAGTTTGACCTGCTTAATAGTGGTTGAAAAGAGCTTTATTCAGGAAATTCAACAAAGGGCAGTAGGGAATGAAGTTCTCAATTGCAGATCTTTCCTGAACCTTCATGTCAGTCTCAATCAGCTGCGCTTTTGAGATGTAAATACGATTACTACGTTCAACCTTTAGGGAAATTCAATTAAAGCATTCTATAAATCTTCTCACTTTTATGCACAAGATGCGTTCTTTAACAAAAAGCCATGGAGAAGAAGATAGACGGGAATATTAGACTGTAACTTTCATTTACATCTTATTGATTTGATTAAAACATGCCTTTAGCTGTAACCGGGCAGAATGACTGCTAGTACGAGATAGCACCATTAATGGAGATTTCAAGAAATTGGGAATCGTAAATACAGTCTAATTTTAGTTTTTCATTTAGGTAAGTATGCTTTGCTTGTTAACGCCTTTTTAGTTACACTGAAACTACAAAATATCGGACACTTTCCTACATGTGTGCAACAAAGCATATGTAAATTCGTACAAGAAATAATTGAATTCCATTTCTACTCTTTACTTGTTGACCCTGATATTAACCTCTACACATTCATGGACTGCACTCCGACTAGACCCGAATGTGCAATTTATACAACGAATAAAATTTAAGCCATGCATGACAATCAACTTTTGTTCGGCGAATTCTTCTACAAAACATTGTTCTCAGAAGTCTCATAACTCCTCTCGACGCAGGCAGCGAATCTTCTTCTTCTATACTAATAAACGTGAACTCAACGCCATGAAACTCACATCCATACCACAAAAAGTAACGTACGAATAGACACAAAAATATCTATAGGATAGTCTGTAGGATAGTCGCAGAGTCCTTGCAAAGTTTGGTAAAGATTAATACAAAATAAAAGCTGAAAGTAAGTAGTTAAAATAATATGTTTATAGATGCATCACGATAAGTATTTTTCGCCTCATGCTAAGAGTAAGTGATTTCATATATATTAAGCCAGAAGCCAGTAGCGGTGCAGTAAAACTGGAACCTGCCAGTATCAATGCATAAGATTAATATTTTTAATCTAATAGCAATGTATTGTAAAATAAAATACTATATTATCAGAGGTCATTTCATACATCATGGCAACTATTTTGTGTATCCCGAATAACGTCGTACTATATACATAGGTTATCGCACAATATACATTTGAAAACAGGGTGAACAAATGGGATGCAAATGCCAGATGACATCTGGGTGCATTGATGTCTGCTACACAGCAACACATGCAAACGTTAGTATCAAAGAGACTGTTCCGAGAGAGATGACCCTAAAATTGAACAGTGAGCATATGTAAAAATTGCTCGTTAGTGGCCTGCTCAGCTACGACAAGCATTAGGTGATAGGACGTTGCCCTATTGAACTGTTGCACGTTGGGTAGAAGCTTTCAAACGTGGACGCGCAGCAACAGTTGACCTTCCGCGCAGTGGACGCCCAGCGTCTGCTGGCAGAGGTGCAAGTGGTTGTTATCGAACACTGTTTAGCAGATGGAATGCTTTGGACTGCGACGTAATTATCCGCATATACTGCATCGATAGCGGACATTTTACGGAATGACTTGAAGATGCGCAAGGTTTGTGCAGAGTGAGTTCCACATGCTTTGACGGAGGTGCAAAAATGGATTCGAAACGAGACATGTGTTATCTGCGTGGAGGGATTTCAACATCACAAACGTGATGCGCGAGCGGGATGCACGATGATGAAACGTGGGCACGAGTGTGTGAACCAGAACTAAAGAGGCAATCAAATGAATGGCGTCGCCGAGGTTCACCACAAAAACATAAATTTCGACAGAATCCATCACTCACGAATATCATGCTTATTTTGGCTTAGAGCAGCCAAGGTATTCTCGTGTCTCATCCTGTTCGTGAGGGCCAAAGTGTCACTGTCACGTATTTCTGCTGCACACGCGTCGTACACTGCGGAGGAAAATTCCAGGTCTTCTCAACAATGCAATACTCAATAATGCAACAAGCCACACAGCAGCCTGTGTCAAGTACCTCGTGCGGCGGTGGGGGAGGGAGATCTCGGAACACCTTCTGTACTCTCTTATCTCAGTCTTTGCTACTTTGACCTCTTTCCAAAAATGAAGACGCCGCTGCGTGGGAAGCGGTTTGCAAACAGAGAGGACTTTAAACAGCGCATCGACGAGAGGTGGCGCATGAAAACAAACGCTGATGGTATTTAGCACCACTTTCATTGCTGGCAAATATGCATGGATGCCTTGAGGGATTATTTTGAAGTTTTTTAGCACGTAAGAATACGAGTATTACGCGTAGTTTTGTTTTGTGCTTATGTAATATGAACAAAGCAATAATCGTTTACGATTCTTTCATATCCCATACCCTGGTACCCGGATCCCAATTTAGTATCAGTATTGCAAAGAACATTCCAGCGACTTTCATTTGTATATCCTTATGTTGTTTCCTGTAGTTTTATTAACAGATACAAATTACTTGTCATGACTACCGAAATGACCCTCATAAATTGTATTAAACTTTGAACTAATTATATTAAAAATAATAATCTTAAGCACCATGTTTTATATAAAATAGATATTTTTCAGCTTTCAAAAGGATTGGATATGAAGAAAGTCCGGGTATTTTACTGAAAAAATCTCCATCAAGCTTCCTCTTCTTAAAGTGCTATCGCTAAAAATCGCAAAATTATAACGAATGTGTCACTATCTAACACCGGGTACGGTAAGATTTGAGTATGGCTACTGATTGTGGGGTCATTCAGTGCTTGAGAAAACATTACTCACTTCTTTGGGAAAAGTGCATCGATTTCCGGAAAAAATATCAAGTATTGGAGAAGCCCGCGTAATTGAGATGGTAATTGCAGGAGATCTCTATAGTAGCATTTCTAACCATATTATTCACGGGTAGTATTTTAGGGTTAAGAAAACCTTTACATTTGCTTTAAAAATTGAGAAAATTAATTTTTGCGAAATTAAAATGTAATGAATTGCAAAGGCCGCTAAAACTATGTG